GCTCAACTGCACAGCTCACGATCAGCTCCTTGACAGTTAACTTTGACTCTTAGCACTCAGAGGGGTCGGCTGCTTGGCTGCAGATAGCAAGAACGATGTTTGTCATGTGGGCGTGGGGGGGTAAGGCAATTATCGAGATTTGCATCATGTTGCTGTCACAGAGGCTAAAAATAAAGGAGAGTAAGGGGTTTGCTAGGAGAATCTCAATGGCATGGTCTGCAACTGGGTGAGTTTAAGAGTGCAAGCTTTAAAGAAAATTCTAGCCCGTTGAACGTATTCATGTGGATTTGCATCAGCATTAAAGATTAGCAATTGCATGATGGTTTTGGTGATAAGGAGGAGCTGAAATAATTTGTTTATCCGTTCCTTTCTTAGTTACACCTAGGAAGGCACACCAGAATATTGTTCTCTGCTGTAGGATTTTTTAATGCAAAGATTGTTGTAAAGACCTACAGGTTTGCAGCCCACATCCCAGCCCCCATTCCCACCCTACCTCTCTTAAAATGGCAAGTATGACCCCCCAACCCCCTATCTCAGAAGATTTGGACATTGAGTAAAGCACAGCTAAAGACCACATTAAGTGCTATGTCAAATAAATCGCACTGTGGCTTACCTGCCAAAGCTCTACAGTTCCAGAGGCAGAGGAGAGTAAGAGGCAAGGGCCGGACTGCCATATCCAAAGTTCAGTCTCTTCTAGGGAAAGGAAGGTTAAAAAACAAAAAAAATCAGTAGCAATGAATAGAAACATTTTCCTCAATGCTATTTTTGTGGGTATTTTTTTCAGGACTGTGGTAGAAAGAGGCAAGGGTTAATTTTTATTTATTTATTTATTCTATTTATATCCCACCTATCTGGTCAATATGACCGCTCTAAACTAAGCTTCCCCTTCTTGCACATCACAACCCTGATCTAGATTAGGCCCTCACTGCTCTGTTTGTTTTAACTAACATGAACTGTATTGTTTGTTTGTTTTAACTAACATGAACTGTATCTAGTTCCAGAGAGCCATCCTCCACCATCTACTCTCGTGTTTCTTAGCTGCACATACATTTTTTGCTAGGAGGTTTAGCTTCCCTTTTGGTCTTCTAAACAGCTGCTTTGCATGTGGCTAGTCCTCAAACACTTGGAGGCGAGCTCTGGGAACAGTCTTTACTTCAAGCATGATTACTAGTACTGTCCGTTGGACACTGAGCTGATATCAAAATATCAACTAGAGAACTGATAGCACCATTTTAATCCTTTAAGCACTGAAGGATTTGGTGTAGCTTCTCTCTCTCTCTCTCTCTCTCTATCTCTCTCTCTCGTTGAAATGCTTCAGTTCTGCTTTCTTACTAATTTAATACACTTTTAAATAATTGCATCAGGAAGCCTAGGTAAAGGCAGCAATTCCTTAGAGATTTTGCAGATCACTAAAGAAAGAAATCTTTTTCATGCCTTAATGGTTCTTAAGCAGCCATGCAGCCAAAGACCCTCCCTTTCATCTCTTAGGTGTCTGCAGACGGATTGCTTCAGGATAATTAAACATAGGAAATAGAGGGTGATCATGGCCAAACCAGATTGTCAGTTTAGACAGAAATGGGCCTAAGTTCTCCTTTGATTTTGGTGATCTGCATCTCCTAATTTGAATGGAGGTATGGATGGACTGTCCAAAGTCCAGGGCTTGAAGAAATTACATGTACTGAGTTGATCTTGATTTGCCATCCGGATGGACTGTCCAGGTTTCCGTCTCCTTTTTTTGAGGATATGTTGGGTTGTTAATGTTTCTTGGTTCTCTCTTTATGTCTTTCGGGGTGGTGTTGGGCTGTGGTATTCTAAGTGGGGTCAGCGGTCCAGAGTAGTGCCCTGGTACTAGATGGGCAGGATAGGGGTGGTGTTGGGCTGTGATACTCTTAAGTGGTGTTAGCTGCTCAGCGTAGTGCCCTGGTACTAGATGGGCAGGATATAAATATAATGAATAAATAAATAGTGCTCTTTTTTTTCACCAGGGCGGCTTCCAAAGTCCTACAGCCAGCAGGGCTGATTTTACTTCCAAAATGGCTGTAAATGTAATAAGTAAATAAATAAATAATGCTTTTTTTCCCACCAGGCTGGCTTCCAAAGTCCTGTAACCAGCAGGGCTGATTTTACTTCCAAAATGGAACGTTTCCAAACCTTCCCCAAGCATGCTAAAATATATATGCATCGAGTGCCTTTTTACACATATATGAAAATGTGAGATTTTCAATGGGTTGTTTACCGCTGCCACCCCCACGCAAATTTCCATGGCCAAGCAGGGATTTGAAGACAGATTTCCTGTGTCCCAGTCCACCACTCTGTGAGCCAAAATGAAGAGATCTTACTAATAATTATGACTGTATACCAAAGAATTCTGGTTTATGGGGACCCTTTCTTTGGTTTTCTACGTAGGAAGTACCCAGAAGTGGCTTACCATTGGCTTCTTCTTGGAACAGAGTAGGATTATTTCTATATCTCTGATAGAATTAAAACCAAAATATGTCAGACTAAAAAAACAAAAAACAAATACAAATTGAAGGACTACACCAAGCATGGGGCTGGAGTGAAGGGCCATGTTGAAAAACAGCACCTGCTGTTCATTTCAACAGTAACCTCCTTTTTACATTTCACTTAATTCTGCTCCCTTCTGTCCAGCTACCATTTTATATTCAGAACAGTTCTGTGAGGTAGATGTAGCCGAGAGAGGGGGACAGGCTGAAGATGAGCGTGTGAGCTTCATGGCTCCATAAACATGGTAGAAGCCCATGAGTGTAACCACTGTACTATGTTGTTTCTCTTCCTCTCCCAGTGACACAGTTGTGGGAACAAAAAGGGTATTAAGTCCATGTTTGTTTCTTTTCCCCTTGAACAGCAAATAATGTGGAACAAGGGCAGGGAAGTGCATCAGAATGACGTCATCCCATGTATTTCCATAGCAACAGGGAAGGAAAAGAAACTTAAAATGGAGGGGCCAGTCATTTTGGTGGCACCTCTTTTAGGGTTAGCCTCATGTTTTTTTTCTGCCCTGAGCCTTACAGATCCTCTCCTCACCTCCATTCTCCATCTTTTGAAGCCTATGCTCTTTAATCCATTTAGCGGACAAAGTAATCAACCCAAGTTTGAATTAATTAATGACCGGCACTAAATTTTAATTACAAAGGTGTGTCCGTTTGCCCGTATGGGTGTATCTAGATTTCTGGTGTCTTCCTCTAAGAGGACGCTGGTGGGTGGGAATAACATCTTTAAAGGTAGACTTTTTCTTGTTCATAGTCAGGTACACTTCTTTGCCTGAAGCTGCAAAGATTACTCCACTTCACTCCAAAGTCTAGGTACCTGGATGTGGGACAGAGTGCCATGGATCCTGGTACCTCACACCAGGGGTATTGGCAAGTTTTTGGGTATGAGAACCAAGTCCAAGGACAGACTTGGAAGACTGTAGTCCTTCCACAAGGATTAACCCTGATGAATTTCAGGCAAACAGGCTTTTGTGCTGGCCATCTTTGAAGCCTACTTTTAATAGGTTAAAAGTTAAACAGTGTGCTGTCTTCCTAAATATTGTAATGTCTTTGATGTGTGCATGATTATTCTGCACTTAAAGGTAAAGGTAAAGGTTCTCCTTGACAATTTTTGTCCAGTCGTGTTCGCCTCTGGGGGGCGGTGCTCATCCCCGTTTCCAAGCCATAGAGCCAGCGTTTTGTCCGAAGACAATCTTCCGTGGTCACGTGGCCAGTGCGACTTAGACACGGAACGCTGTTACCTTCCCACCGAGGTGGTCCCTATTGATCTACTTGCATTTGCATGCTTTCGAACCGCTAGGTTGGCGGGAGCTGGGACAAGCGACGGGAGCTCACTCCGTGGCGTGGATTCAATCTTACGACTGCTTGGTCTTCTGACCCTGCAGCACAGGCTTCTGCGGTTTAGCCCGCAGCGCCACCACGTCCCCTACACTTACCGTAGGTTTATTCTGTGTGTGAAACTGACTCACCCAGAATAGTGGTTCCCCATCTTGGATGAAGGCTTCAGGGAATGTAGTCCAGGAACATCTGGGGACCCAAGGTTGGGGACCACTGGAGTAGAAGGACAGATAAAGTAAAGACAGAAGAAACATTCCAATCAAACAACAAAGATTAAAATCAAAATGCCGAAAAGTTAGGACCTTACATTGGAGGCGGAAGCAATAAGCCCAACCACTGCCTATCAAAATTACTAAATGTTTGGGAAAGAAAGATTGAAGGCTGGCAATGTTAAGATGAAAGGGGAAAAAAAAGGATCGGTTGGGTGGGTTCTGAGTCCAAGTTATGGAAGAAAAAGAAATTAAGTCCAGTCACTAGTGTAACTTAACTCTGACTTGACAACAAGTCTTGTGACTTGAGTCCTTGCCTCAAACTAGACAACATATTTTGATGTGCGAGTTAGATAAACCCATAATTTTTCCTCTTGCTTCCCTGAAAGTAAAAATAAAGCAGTAATAAATCAGACAATTATATGTTTGTGGCTGTTTCATGACACCTAATATCTGCTGCCTGTGGTGGCTGCCTTCCTCTTGCCTAATAGTAGGGCCAGCCTCGATCACAACCAGTATTTGGTGTGTCCTGATTAAATAGTAAGGGAGACTTCCTTCATTAGCTCAAAACATCATCTTGATTGAGGTTGGGGTGATATAGAAATGGATCACATTATTAAGTTGATGAATGGGTAAAAGGCAGACGACTGCCCAACCAGAAAAGCTTTCTGATTACCCGAAAGCCTGCCACTTACAATATAATTTTGTTCACTCAACATCTTCCTTTAATTATAAATGGCTGCTACACTCTGGGATTACGATGTGAAACAGAACAGCCCTCTTCAGCT